TTTGGTACTTATGGTTGTATGGTAAAGTGGCAAGTTTGCCACTCGACAGTTTTAAATACCCCCGTAGCTAGTGACGAGAGAATGAGGCAAGGTCGAAACTGCAGTTCAGCTGGAAGGAGAAAGCTGTCATGATCATGAGTCCCTAGCTGTGTTGTACATGACCTTAGACCGGACGAATGGGTGGAAGAGACTGCTTTTGTCAAAAGAATTTTACAGATTTATAAAGTGTAGTGGAGTAGAAGAGTTCGTTTGTATGGAAGAGGTTTTAGACGCTCAAGAGGGAATGAGATGATGGCAACTAGGCAACTGATGTAAAAGTGCGAAAGAGGTACCACCATCTGATGGTGCGAAGAGTCAAAGAGTGTGCAGACGACCTAGTGGATTCAAAGCCGGTCCGGGTAAAGTTCCCTTAGCGGCTGCAATGCGGACTTGATAGCTTTGTGTGGTTTCAACGTCAATTGTCAACCGAGGTCTTACTCATTCTTCCATGACGTATATGCGAAGCACACAAAAGCGATGTGCTGTCACCGGTATCCTGGGCGTTGAGAGTCGGAACCATCCATGGGAAAGGTGTAGAGGCAAGATTGCTGCAGGCCCGAGTTTGGTGTTTTCGTTGCGAAAACGGCTCACGTAAGAATTCTTCCTACTAAATAATTGGAGGGACGTGAAGGCTTATGATTGGTCCCAGACAGTGAGACAGGCTTTTGATGAAAGGGTGAAGTCTGATAGGTCGAATAGCAGGCACAGGTAATGCTTGCGAGAATGTGATTGGTTGACAGTCAGGGTGTACGAGAAGCTAAGTCTGGTGAGTAATTGGTCTAGCGTTGAGCAACAAAATTAGACCGATGTGATTGGACAGACTAGGAACTTAGTCACCTTAACTAGCTCAAGCTCAGCTAAGTATTGATAGAGGATATTTTGCCAAACTGTGATGAGTCACACAGCGAAGTCGTAACGACTCGCCACGATACTACCGGGACCCAGACGAGGTGGAACTTCAGTCTAGCCTGAATGGACAACCTTTTGCAGACGAGGCTCCGTGACTTTTAATAGCCTACTACTCATAGCCTACTTATAGCATTGTAAGAAATCATCTCACACGACTTATGGTGAATAAATTATTATTCGTAGTTTATTGATAGTTGCAAAGCGGGCTCAGACTGAATATATATTTTAAGCGAGTTGAATAGAATCATTTCAAAGCCTTCTGAGCCTTTACTTAATATCTTTCACTCCTCCTATCAGCCTAGGGTACTTGGAACAACATTATTTCGTATTCCAGATCGTCTTAATGAATATTCACTCAGCAACCTAATAAGAGTGACAATTATGGCAAAGGTCTAGCTATCTTTTCACTTTATCATGGACAGTCTGGGCATTAGTAGAATACGAAAACTAGTTAAAACCGGCGCGCCTTAACATCAGCCAGACTCCTGGTAGCTGCGACACAAAGTTTTGCTAAGGTTAGACATCAAGTTGTCAGATGGGCTGGATTCTCGTTCCCAGTTCAACCTACTTCAGGCATCAATTTACCTTCGAAGGTATGAAGACTAGGATGGTGTGGCCTTTTGTGTGGTCACAGTCACCTTAGGTTGTATAGAAGTACTACGTCCATGGTCCGACTTTGGAAATGATTATGCATACAATGAACTCCGGAAAAGGTGCGTTCCTCTAAGTATTCTGTATTCACCCTTTTTATAGTAAGGTGATTAAAGGCTGATTATCAAATTTTTCCATTATTATTTGAGCAGGTCTCATGATCCTATTGAATTTCACATAGACTTGCTTTCCAGAGGCTACTCTGATTCAGAGCGGACTGCAGTTTCGACTTCGCCTAGGTCTTATCTACCTTTCCCATGCCACATTTATCTGGTGGGATTGTGTACTAGGAAAAGTCGATTACATAACTTATTTTTCGTTTCATAAGTAGATTTTTGAGACTACCAGTAGTTAACGTGTCGTGACTCCACGTTTCACTTCCACAACACAGGTTCGAGTCCCGCTGGGGCCGTTGATGATACAAGTTCTAGCGAGGTTAACAATGCAGTCCACTCGAAATACAAATATATCTTGGAAAGCAAGGTTATGTGAAGTTCAATAGATAAAACTCATAGAATTGGGGGAAAATTCAACTACCAGTCCTTGTTAACCTTAAAAGAAATAGGGTAGATACGGCTTTTATGAAACGAAATTTTTTCTTTCAATCCGCTAGTCGTGTTTTTTCCTGAACATCTGGACAACCACCATCATCTCCCTCAATCAGCCTTGTCCTCCCGAACATTCCTTTACTAAAGGCCCAAATCGCCAGTCAGATGCATATTGACTAACTTGATCGCTATCTCGATGGACCCATTTCGCGTGACTCGACTATTCGCTTCAAAGGAAGAGTTGATTGGAAGGGATCTGTGAATTCGACATGCCAGAAACCGAAGGACTGTTGGATTGTGCGAACAAGTCCTCGACTCACCGTTATGCGACTCCGATGGATATGTTAAGTTTGATGTAGCCAACAAAATCATAAGATATGTAGGAAAACAGGTTTTATTGCCTTCATGTACTGGTCAATTATCTTAAACCATGCTGTCCTGCTCTGACGATGTTCGTCAAATGACGGACGAAAGCTCAGCAAGGATTCCTCGGGGTCGCGAAAATCTATAGTCACAGCTTCAAGGCTTCCGGTGAGAACAAATCAGGAAACTCTTCGTCTTGCCTCTTCAAACTAAATGAAAGGTATTCCAACACAAATCATGGAAAGTCCCATTAAGACGGCAAAATTTGATATAAGAAGTGAGTATACTTACGGCCAGCCACCTCTCATCTTGGTTTAGTATGTCGGTGTGGTTTTTCGTAAGGTAAGCCTTTTCACTTTGACTATGTCTATCTCGATGGTACAGACGAAGGCTCAGCACGGCTTCCTCAGAGTCGTAGGACGTGGAGCTGACATTCAAATAGGCCAATCGGTTTCCTGTGCTGACAATTCCAAACTTCCTTCCAGTCAATTTGCTTTCTCAACTCAGAGCCATCCCTGCAGACACTCTTACATCCCAAACCACAGCCCTCCATTTTATCAACCTGACAACTGATCCCTCAGGCTTCTGACCTCCACTAAGCGTGTCTGCCTTCCCTGATTATAATATTATAATATTATTTTTTTTCGTTTATAATTTCATGTTTACCCTATTTCATTCAAAGGGAAAAGTGGACTGGAAGTTGATTTTTCTCGCAATTATATGAGTTGACCTTACGCTTCCACTGAATTTCCCCAAACCTTGCTTCTCAAAAGAAATTCCCGTCCAGGCTGAGGTGGACTGCGGTTTCGACCTTGCCCAGGTTTCATCAGCACCCCAGCCGGACTCGAATTATGATAGTCCAGCAAATAACCTCGACGCTACGCCAGACTGCCACTAGTGCCCTTGAGGCACAGAGCAGATGTGAATTCCAAGAAAAGCCAGGCATTTTCCCATAGCTGTGGTGGTATTTGCCATACCAATCGATTTTATTTCTTATTTTTTCGTTTATATATATAATCTACTGGCGTCTTGAAAGCCTACATATAAACGAAAAAATAAGAAATAAAATCGATTGGTATAGAAAATACCACCATATATATATATATATATATATGAGATGCGCTCATCTCATTTTATACTTCAGTGGAAACCGCATTGCTACTCATATATGTATTATATCTACCTTATATTATTATATATATGCCCCTATGATGAACCTCCTTTAGGGGGATTATTGTGTTACAATAATATATTATTCTTTTATTAGTGTATATTTATACTCCCTATCGTAATTCTCCTATGAAGGGGATCATAATTATTAAATCTATCTTATATTGCCATATATGGGATTTTTAATATTGATATTTTCCATCTATCATTTGACCAGCTTGACAACTGATTCCTTTGTCTTCTGCCCCAAAGCCTATTCCCATTAACCGCGCCTCCCCCTGCCTACGTCTCTTCCCATTTTCCACTGCCTAGCCGTCGAGTCGCAGACTTGTCAGTACTGCTACGGCAACGGTCTTCTCTTACCGATGCACTCGCGTCGCTACCTGCACACGTCCACAGTCCCAGAACCGGCTAGCGACGCTTGGCTGCGTAGCGACAACAGCGTCGGCCCGACACCATACAACTTCTGCGCCCACACTCTGCCCACACATATCCGGCCGCAGTCACGGTTTCGCCAGCCCATCAGTGCCACGATTCGAGTCCGGGACCGTGGTCCGGAGGCGGAGAGGGCGTGGCGCAGCCGGCACGCCTCGGCTCTCCTTACGCCCAGAGACGAGCGTGCCTATTGCAGCTACTCGTCCAGACTCGGCGCCGCCGATTCCTTCTCCGACCAGACACTGTCGGCGGCTGAGCGGCTTCTCATTGTCTACAAGTACCCCGACGCCGAGGCCAAGGCCAACCCGGCCGCGGTGAAACCGAGACCTACATCGTACGGTCCATGCGACCAGTCGTTCGCCGCCTCCAGGCGCCACGAACCGGCCTTCTCGGCGACGAGTCCCTTCTACGAGCCGGACAGCGACGCCGTCGCCTTGACTCCGGCCTCCAACCGGGTCTCGGGCTCGTCCCGCGCTGATGTGATCGTCCTCACGCCCAGAAGCCGAATCGCAAAGAGCCCTTTATGCATCTCTAGGCTGAACACTCGCAATTCCAGCCTCCAGCTCGACTACAGCGCAAGCGACTCGGAGGCGGCCAGTGGCGCCAAACAACACGAGATACACGTTGGTCGATGATGTCCAGGCAACAGCAGCCTGGCAATTTGCCAGCATTCTTTGTCTCCAAGAGTTGGAAATCTGGCTTTCCCGTCCGCCCGAAGTAGGGCTGACCCCTTCGGGGGCAGAAGCACTCGGAGTCCTAGGGTGATGTGGATACCGAGTGTGTAGATAGCGGACCAAAAATGCAGATTTCCTATCCACTATTTTTTACAAACAAACTCTACTTTCATGAAGTTTTAATGAGTAATTTTGTATGAAATCCCTAAACTCACCTCACCTCAGGTGATGAAGAGTTGGCTCGTTCTATGTGCCTACTTAATGTGTCTATCGAATTATCAAGACAAGTCCAAGCAAGTATCCTCTTCCTTTTCTCCTTCGCGTAGAATTCAGCCATATTGACCCCTACTCGGACCACCTTTCCTTGAAGAAGCTGATTGTTTTGCAACTGAATAACACATCTGCAGGCAGTGTGTCGGGATACAAGTAAACAGCCATTTACACAATTCATGCATACCATACCTCGCCAGCCTGTGCGGAAAGAGAAACTCTCAGTAACCGGAACCTTATTCAACGCGTTTTATCTATCTTTTATTTAATTCCAGAAATGTGAGGATGACTCTGTCATTTTCGCAAGAAGACTCGCTATGATTGTGACCTACTCCCTCCCTCCCTCCCTCCCTCTGACTCAAACCCGAGCCTGTGTACTCAACATGAGAGACTTGGGAATCGTCTCATGGAGACCGGTGAATCTTAGGAATGCCGGTGCCCATCAAAACTCTCATAACCGCCTCAATGTTGATTCTCCGCTTGCTTAGCTTGTGCTGCACCCTCATTTAGTGTGAACCTCACGTTGATATGTCGTCGATGTTGGCTCGGCATACGACACTTCACCCTTGCCTCGTTTGTCTTTAGCTTAAATAAATTGTCTCTGAATGTGTCCGATACATTCTATGCACTCTCTTCTCGTTACTCTCTATGGCTAGGATAGGTTGCCATGGCGCCCTCAGTTTGCCACGCGGAGTAAACCTTCTATTGCGCAGCCAGTAGATCTAATCTCCTTTAGGATCAAAACAGCCTATATTCAGCCACGGTCTGTTACTATTAGGGGGTATCCAGGCTGGAAATTCACGTGAAAGCCAACAATAGGAAGAGTTTATGAATAAAAGAGGGAGACTGAATTAACCTCGAGTCTGGCTAGCACTATCACTCTTCCAATGACGTGAACATTGAGTACACAGAATAGACAATAGTACAAAAGTAAATATGAGTCAACATTGGAGAAGTTTATTTGCGCAAAAACGAGCTGCTCCAGGGCGCACCTCCAGTTCGTGACGCAACTTCACTTATCTACAAGCATGTAGAAGATATTTGAGGAAGCCAACCAGATCATAGAATGTTCCATTAAAATCGCGAAGATAGATGTATAAAAAAAGTGTCTAGGGTTGCCGCCGGCTACCTTTTCTCTTGGTTTAGTATATTTTTGTAATATTTCGTAAAGTATGGAATCTTGCTCTGATGATGTTTTTCATAGTGGTACAGACGAAAGCTTAGCACAATTTCATCGAGGCCGCCGGACAGTGAGCCGAGGACTTCTTCGCACAATTCTACAGTCTTCCCTACACGGCTATCCTCCTTTAATGAGATTTATTCACCCTATTTCGTGTAAGGTGATGAAGGACTGGTAGTAGAATTTTCCCACAATG